CACATCTTAATGAAGTATAAAAAAAATCCCAAATTTTTGTTTCGTTATTAGTGTACAAACATATACACATTTGTGTATATGTTTACATATGTGTGTGTATGACAGTATAAATGTTAAAGATTGTTATTTATTTCAATATATATTTTCAAGTTTATATATGTATATATATATACATAACTTCGATATTTTTACATAGAAATACATAAAAAGACCTATAAAAATAACATATGTGGTGATTGAACCAATTAAACCCAAATCATTATATATATATAGAACAAATTGAAAACGAGAGAGGGTTTGAGATACAGTGTTAATTGTTCCTGTCTCCTGTCCTTCAGTTTCTAACTACTTATATAGAAAACAATTATTCTGGTGATTTTTTTCATCGCTTTAAAAAATCATCTAATAGTCTCGAGTCAAAGATCTTTCCACAACTTCGGAATGTCAGTTCCTTCGGTTTTTTGCATCATGTGTTTCTTTAGTCGACGATACTGCTCGTCTGAAAAATTCTCTTTCCATTCTCCAACTTGCCCTTTACGAAAAAATTCGACTTTCTGGTCATTATCACCATCTTGACCAATGTTGTACTGTAGTTTTTCCTTCATGTTGTTGAAATCAGTGTTTTCCAATATCTTGTCCACTAAATCTTTATCATCTTTGAGCTTTTCCCAATAATCATTTCCCAAAAATTTGGCTACATTCGTGACGGCATTCTCTGGATTCGACTTCATTTCTTCGTAAGTAGTGAATAAAACATTAGGGTCCTGACGATGTGGCCACCAGGAAAGAAGATGGTCAAAGAAGTCTCCATAATGAACTTCCCCTCGGATGAAGCATTCGAAAAAGTCATCAAAAGTTCCATCTTCGAAATGATAGCAGTTTTTGATTTTCTTGGTGTGATTGTAAAAAGACACACAACAGTCGAATGGATTACGAGCCACAAAAATATATTTAGCTTCAGGATGATGCGGTGTGAGATGGTAAGGAAGATGAACTTTGAAAAGCTTTGGTGGTTTCATGGTTTCTGCAATTTCTCTACCTGTCAGTTCCAGGAAAGGAACGTATTTGACATTCATGTCATCAAAAGAAGGCAGAGGAGCCCCTTCGTTGATTATTTCCCAGACAATGTACTGCATCCAAGTGGTTCCACATTTGGGATAGGTAACAATAAAAACGTCTTCTGGTGTGGCTTTGTAAGAGATTGCTGACTGTAGCTTTTCAGGAGTAAAGAACGATGTTGGAATAGGTATACCCTCAACGGTATGTAAAGGAATCTTTTTGTGAGTGTTCTTTGAATCGTCTTGGATCTTAAATGTTTTGGTGTTTTTGCCACCCATTTTTAAATCAAAGCTGAAAATGAAATTAAAGGGATACGTATTTATATTAAATATGTGAGATGTATAGTTTTATATTTTAAAACTTAAACATAATATTTTTATCGTATTCAATTTTTGTTTTAAAATACCATTATTTCATCTCGAGAATATCAGTAATCTAATAATCGTAATTTGACTACCAAATCAAACACTTATATATTGGTTACAACAATGATCTAATAATCGTAATTGACTACCAAATCAAACACTTGTATATTGGTTACAACAATGATCTAATAATCGTAATTTGACTACCAAATCAAACACTTGTATATTGGTTACAACAATTATCTAATAATCGTAATTTGACTACCAAATCAAACACTTTTATATTGGTTACAACAATGATCTAATAATTGTAATCAAACACTTGTATATTGGTTACAACAATGATCTAATAATCGTAATTTGACTACCAAATCAAACACTTGTATATTGGTTACAACTATGATCTAATAATCGTAATTTGACTACCAAATCAAACACTTGTATATTGGTTACAACAATGATCTAATAATTGTAATCAAGCACTTGCATGTTCGTTACAACAATGATCTAATAATCGTAATCAAACACTTGCGTGTTCGTTACAACAATGATCTATTAATCGTAATCAAACACTTGCATGCTCGTTACAACAATGATCTAATAATCGTAATCAAACACTTGCATGTTCGTTACAACGATGATCTATTAATCGTAATCAAACACTTGCATTCTCGTTACAACAATGATCTAATAATCGTAATCAAACACTTGCATGTTCGTTACGACAATGATCTAACAATCGTAATCAAACACTTGCATGTTCGTTACAACAATGATCTAATAACTGTAATCAAACACTTGCATGTTCATTACAACAATGTCCTAAACCAAATTAATCGTCAAACAGTTGGAAAATTTAAAAATTGTTATAAGTTAGCAATTCAGACTGCATCAAATAAAAACATTCAAATAAAACAAAATTAAACACCGATTGCTATAGTTTGGAAGATACATCCCACATCCACGTTACTAAATACAAAGTTAGAGATGACGCAATTAAGATTTATTTAATGACCAGTGATATTAAATTTCGTGTTAAGAATTACGTTCAACAAACTAAATTTGGAAATATAATTTCGTGTCGAACTTTATCACGTGAATTATCTCTACTGAAGCCATCAGGGCAAGAAATGTGTGTCGGTGTAGAGAAGGCACCGTGGCCAGCAGTGTGTTGGTGTAGAGAAGGCACCGTGGCCAGCAGTGTGTTGGTGTAGAGAAGGCACCGTGGCCAGCAATGTGTTGGTGTAGAGAAGGCACCGTGGCCAGCAATGTGTCGATGTAGAGAAGGCACCGTGGCCAGCAGTGTGTTGGTGTAGAGAAGGCACCGTGGCCAGCAGTGTGTTGGCCGTAATAATACATTTTTTTGGTGCACTAAAAAGCGTCATGAAAACGTAATAAGAGATATTGAAAACACTCAGATTATTGTTCCAAAGCTGTAATGAATCACGTTCAACAGAAAACTAATTATTTGATATTTTGTGCAATTTTAAAACCCTCTGAAACAAAATGTGAATAACAAAGAAAGAGAGAACAAAATTCATTAGCTGGTATTCGTTAAACGACGTTTATATCTAAAAACCGAAACAAAAAATATGGCTGAACTTAATGGGATAGTTGGCCTATTCACGAAATACTACTGATGTTCCGTCGAATATAGGTGCCGATTATTCACGCATGCTCAGTCGCAGTTAAGGCTAAAGTAGTAGACATGTCTGTCAAGTAACTGTATACTGCGTACAGTACGTGTGGGTAATATGTAAGCTTTAAGAGAGGGGAATAAGATAATTCTTTGAAATGTAACTCTCAAAAATCTAGCAAACACTATTGGCTAACTACCCAGTGACGTAGATAATTCATGTTTAATATTGGAGGCACTTTATTTTGGTACTGTGAAAATGAAAACTTTATTCGCGGATCGACCTATTCTCAAACGGCCTTTTACGTCACGTGAACTGTAATACAGACTTCGAGCTCTGGCTTGCCCTACTTCTAAACCTTGCCGGTCAGATGGGTTTCAGAAAAAATAACAGAATATTCATATGTTAATTTTAATGGCTTTTCGTTGTACTTGCATTTTGTCGGTTCGCGACGGTTTATGGAGGCAGTTAGAGGGTCTCTGGTTTGGAAAAGGTTAAGAAATAGTGTTCTAAGTATGCAGTGCGATATAACACCATACTAGGCCTAACCTGCGTGAAACGACATTTATATTCTATGCGCAAGATTCCCTCTGTGTAGGGCCCGGCATGGCCAGGTGGTTAGGGCCCCGGCATGGTCAGGTGGTTAGGGCGCTCGACTAGCAAGCTGAGGATCGCGGGTTCGAATCCCCATCACACCAAACATGCTCGCCCTTTCATCTGTGGGGGCGTTATAATGTGACGGTGAATCCCACTATTCGTTGGTAAAAGAGTAGCCCAAGAATTGGCGGTGGGTGGTGATGACTAGCTGCCTTCCCTCTAGTCTTACACTGCTAAATTAGGGACGGCTAGGTTAGGTTCAAAACAAACAAACAAATTTGTGTATACTTAACACGTTAGGCACATCTTATTTTAAGACTGTATGCAATTTTTAAAAAGAAGATCTGTGTCTTCATCGTGATTCATCTTACTATAAACATGTGACGTCATGACGTATTGGACCCACAGTGAACTTATACTAACCTAATTATACATAACTTACCTTTTTGTATTCGTATTCTGCCTGCTCCTACGTTTTCGCATACACTTGTACTAAATAAATATAGATACGATTAGATCTGTCCCATTGAATAAAAAGGTCACAGACATATACTAGTAGCAGGTAAACAAGTATAGGTCTTTACATGCAACGATGAATATACCTTCGTGTAACCCAGATTCTTACACACCCCAATTTATATAATTATTATTATATTTCATATAGAATTCAGAGACCACAAATATCTTGTTAACTTACCATACTGAAAATGTTTCATCAGTAACGCGCAAGACCTGTACTAAGGTCAAACCATTGCATAATACAAAGTGAACAAAACTCTTTGTATGAGTCACTTAACGAGGCCTAATACTTCAACCACTGTATTAACATAACAGAACGTTCATATATCCAGTATAAACTGTCTAAATAACAACGACCTTATCATGCACATTACTCATAAAGCATTGCATATTTTGTAAATATCGAAAATATGCTTCATAATATCATAAAGAATACAAAGCTGATATCATGACTAATTAATGAGTTTGGGTAATGTAACGTTCTCTCAGCACGTACCTCGTGACATCACCTAATATCCTGTGGTGACATCACCTAATATCCTGTGAAATATTGTACCGGTTTCTGCCATATTCCCAGTCTACTTAACGAAAAGTAAGGCAGGCGTTTTATTTCTTCAACTGAAAGTTTTACAAATTATACTATTTCACGAATTAGCAATAATTAAGGTTTGGTCATTTGAGAGAATTGGGCTATCTACTGTGTCTACCGCGAGGAATCGAACACCGGATTTTAGCATTATAAGTCCGTAAACTTACTGCTGGTCCACCGATAATCATAACTTACAAATGCAACTGAACAGTCACTTGGGCCCGGCATGGCCAGGTGGTTAGGGCGCTCGAGTCGCAATCTAAGGGTCGCGGGTTCGAATCCCCGTCACACCAAACAAGCTCGCCCCTTTC